CCACTGCCCCCATGGTGCCCACTGCCCCATAGTGACCACTGCCCCCAGAGTAACCACTGACCCATAGTGCCCACTGCCCCATAGTGACCACTGACCCTGAGAGTGACCGCTGTCCCCATAGTGACCACTGACCCATAGTGACCACTGCCCCCATGGTGCCCACTACCCCATAGTGCCCACTGACCCTGAGAGTGACCGCTGTCCCCATAGTGACCACTGACCCTGAGAGTGACCACTGCCCCATAGTGACCACTGCCCCATAGTGCCCACTGCCCCCAAACTGACCACTGCCCCCAGAGTGACCACTGCCCCATAGTGACCACTGCCCCATAGTGCCCACTGCCCCCAAACTGACCACTGCCCCCATAGTGACCACTGCCCATAGTGCCCACTGCCCCCATAGTGACCACTGCCCCAGAGTGACCACTGTCCCCATAGTGCCCACTGCCCCTGAGTGACTACTGCCCCCATAGTGACCACTGCCGCAGAGTGTCCCCCACACCCCTGGTGCCCCCTGCCCCATGGTGCCCACTGCCCCCATGGTGCCCACTGCCCCCGGAGTGCCCACTGCCCCTTAGTGCCCACTGTCCTCAGAGTGTCCCCCACCCCCGTGGTGCCCCTGCCCCCCGAGTGACCCGTGTCCCCCGTGGTGCCCCCTGCCCCCCGAGTGACCCGTGTCCCCGCAGCGTCGCGGTTCATGGCGTACCAGCGGCCGCTCCGCACGTCTCAGGAATACACGGCCGCGCTGCGCGCCGCCCGCGCCCTGGCCGAGCGCATCACCAGCACCCTGCGCGCCGTGCCCGGCACCGACCCCGCCTTCCGCGTCTTCCCCTACACGTGAGTGACACCGCAGTGCCCCTGTTGGGGGTCTCAAGGGGGTGCCCCAGCTCAGGGATCAGTGGGGGTGCCCATTTTAGGGATTCTCAGTCAGGGGTTCCCAGTCATGGGTACTGGAGGTGCCCCACTGCCCCTGTTGGGGGTCTCAAGGGGGTGCCCCAGTCAGGAGTCGGGGGGGGGGGTGACCAGTTTAAGGGGTTCCCAGTTATGGGTGCCCATTCCAGGGTGCTGAGGGTGCCCCACTCAGGGTCAGTGAGGGTGCCCATTTTAGGGGTTCCCAGTTAGCAGTGCCCATTTTAGGAGTGCCCACCCTGGGGTGCTGTGGGTGCCCCAGTGACCCAGTTAAGGGTCATGAGTAGGTGCCCCAGTTAGGGGTTCCAAGTTTAAGGGGTTCCCAGTTATGGGTGCTGGGGGTGCCCCACTGTCCCTGTTGGGGGTCTCAAGGGGGTGCCCCGGTAAGGGGTCAGTGTGGGTGCCCATTTTAGAGGTTCCCAGTTAGCGGTGTCCACGTCAGGATGCTCGTTTTGGGTGCCCAGTGCCCATTTTGGGGCTTCCAATGCCCAGTTTTGGGGTGCCCAGTACCCATATCATGGTATCCAGTGCCCATTTTGGAGTGCCCGGTGTCCATTTTGGGGTGCCCAGTGTCCATATCAGGGTACCCAGTGCCCATCTTGGGGTGCCCAGTGCCCACATCAAGGTGCCCAATGCCTGTTTTGTGGTGCCCAGTGCCCATTTTGGGGTGCCCAATGCCCGTTTTGTGGTGCCCAGCGCCCATATCAGGGTGCCCAGTGTTCATTTTGGGTTCCCAATGCCCATTTTGAGGTGCCCAATGCCCGTTTTGGGGTGCCCAGTGTCCATCCCAGGGTCCCCGGTGCCACACTCGGTGCCACACTCGGTGCCATCGGCGCTGTCCCCGCAGGGTGACGTACGTGTACTACGAGCAGTACCTGACGGTGGTGTACGAGGGGCTGGTGACGCTGGCACTGTGCCTGGTGCCCACCTTCGCCGTGTCCTTCCTGCTGCTGGGCATGGACGTGCGCTCCAGCCTGGCCACGCTGCTCACCATCGCCATGGTGCTGCTGGACACCGTGGGCTTCATGGCGCTCTGGGGCGTGCCCTACAACGCCGTGGCACTCATCAACCTGGTGGCGGTGAGGGCACACGGGGACACGGGGCACGCTGAGGGGCACGGGGATGTGGGGTGG